TCTATCATCGTTTTTTTTCAATGAAAGAGTATAATTTTTGGAGTGCATATATGACTTGGAGATCAATTCATGGAGCAATGACTTGTTCAATGATGTTTTGCTAATTGTATTGGTGATATCTTTCATAATTTTTTCATTGCATCATCAAATATATCCGATGAATGTTTACAACTTAATTAACAAGTTCTAGATTTGTTTCATTCAACAATGTCCATCATTTGTTTCAATATGTGTTATGATGACTTGTTCGCATTTCCTTTTTGAACTTCAATTCTCCTTTTTGAACTTCCAAACACAAACCCAGCCTTTCAACAAAAAAACTAGTTCATGAAATTATAAACGTACCTATTTTCTAAGTATCAAAACATAATTGCCCAACCCCCCACCCCACCCCCCCCCCCCCCCCAAAAAAAAAAAAAAGAAGCACTATGAAAATGATTGAGAATAAAAAAAAATGAAATAGAAGGCTTCATGAAAGTAAACAGCTTTCGATTGAATCCAAATACAATCCAAAACCACTAGCCAAATAATCCAGATACTAGAACAAAACACAGAGGTCGCCAAAATATACAAAGCAAAATTTAAGAACCAAAACAAAATAATAAATAAATAAATAGAATTGACCTGAACAACTCTCAATCGGAAGTTTTTAAGCCTTTCTACGGCCGTACAATTCATTCGGAATGGAGTAAGCGATTTGGACTACCCAAACATTAAAAAATGATGAAAGCACCTATTCGACAGCTTTCACAAGGGGCCATGGAGCGAATGGAGACTTTTACAGTATCTATTATTGCAATGAGACTTTTACAGTATCTATTATTGCAAGGGGATGAGCAATCAGACTCTTCCAATTTAGCTGGGCCTCCCATCACAACATATCCAACCACGGAACTTAATGGAAAGGCTAAACCAGTCCAATGCTTCCCGATCTGAGATAGCAATTAGGCAAGGGGAAAGCGGGTTAGGCGAGGGGAGGAGGTTGATCTTCATTTGCGTCGAATCAGAGGAAAAAAAAAAAGGCCGTTGTTTGCTTAATGGAAATGCTAAACACCAGTCCAACGCTTCCCAATCTAAGATAGCAATTAGGCAAGGGGAAAGCGAGTTAGGCGATGGGAGGAGGTTGATCTTCATTCGCGTCGAATCAGAGGAAAAAAAAAAAAAAAAAACGCCATTGAAAAATTGGGTTCTAGTCAGCTTTTCCCGCTGATGATTAAGAAAAAGTAGCTCGCACTGACCATAGAAATCGAATTGCTTGCCATCAAATTCACCACAGAGGCCGGTAGGATTGATTCTCTTTTTAATATGCTTAACGACGTTAGATTATAAAGGGAGGAAAAAGGTAAGATCCAAACCCCCCGCCCCCCCCGCGCTAGGGCTTTTCTTTGCTGTACGCTATAGAACCCTTCCTAAAGCCTCCTTTTGAATTGCTCGGCAAATTCATAATATGAGGGAAGGCGATTTCGTTGTGTTGACTACGATATCCCCTATATAGGGAGAGATCACTCCGTCCCTTCAAAACTCGTCAACGAGTAGGCAAAGAATGAATAGCTTCTATTAAGGGACATGGAACACTGACTTTAGATTGTCTAGCCTTTTGTGCAAGAGAGAGAAATGACGTTATCTGCCAACTGGCCAACTGGACTGCCACATCCTTCTGCCTAATAATTCGGTGTAAGTATCATTTCCCTTAAACAAATATCCTGGTTCAAGTTTTAAGTTTGGTTGAGGCCACATTTCAAACTACTTGGTCCCACATGAAGACATTTTTGTCATCATGCTGTGAATACTTCTGGGTGTTCCTTTTATTTCATTTCCCAAAGTGCAGTGTACTTGATTAAAAAAAATTATATTTATCATGACAAATATATAAATTGTTCAAATAAATAAGCTAATAAGAAAAAAGAAAAATTTACTACAAAATATATGCTAATTAAGGAAGAGTTTTAGAAAAATAAATACTTGACAAATATAAAAGATAACATATCAATTTAGCAATGCATGATAGTCTCAATAAAAACAGTGATGAAGCCAAAAATCTATTTCAGGAGATGCATATTGAACATGATAAAAAATATATATATATAAATTGTTCAAATAAATAAGCTAATAAGAAAAAAGGAAAAATTTACTACAAAATATTAATATGCTAATTAAGGAAGAGTATAAGAAAAATAAATACTTTACAAATATAAAAATTAACATATGGATGAATACATTGAATAGTATTTTCGTTGAATACAATTATTATTGTCCTGCGTCGGTCTTTATAATTTAAAAGTAATGCATGATAGCTTTATTTTTTATGTCACATTTGACAGTTGCCCTATGTTTTTCACTTATTTAATTAGCTTTAACCAATTTAGGAATGTATGATAGTCTCAATAATTCTATTTCAAGAGAGGCATATTGAACATGATAATATTATCTCACATCAAATACTTGCAGTGAATTATTTAACGGAATAATTTTTAATTGGCTTTTTATATAAAATATAACTAAGTGGAGTGTTCTTTTTCCTTATTTGTTGCACAATTGACCAATTAAAAAAGTAGGTCTAACAATTCACCGCAGATATTCGATGCAAGAATTATTTTTCTATTTTTTTTTCCCCTATTAGTGTAGCAAGACACCCTATTAGTGTAGCAAGACAGTAATCCAAAAAAATAGAACCGCAATAACAACGCATTAATCAAGACTCAGATGTATGTCATTATTTTGTAGAAAAAAATACAGTAAAGAAAAATTCAAAAAAATATAATACACATGTTGAGTTCATAAAGTTATAGTAAAAATTTTAAATAAGAAGAGGAGAAAAAAAGATTACAACATTATACATAAGTGCAAAAAAAAGAATTTTTAAGAGGGGAAAAAAACACAAAACAAGAAGAAAAATCAGAGAACTATGAAGAAAAATAAATTAGGATTTGATTGAAGAAAAAGAAAGTAAACTTTTTATTTTTTAGAGGAGAATTAAAGAAATTTGAAGATAAAAGAGGAAAAAAGAAAAAAATTAAGTTAAAAAATTAAAAATTTTAAGGAGGCATTTATAAAGTTTCTCATGTATATTTTATATATATATATATATGGAGGAGCCGGGCCACGTGGGGTAACTGCTCCCCTCGAGAGTTAAGCCTATACTTGGCTCGTCCCTGCCTTTTATCAAATTGTAGACTTGAGGGTATTAAAAGAAAATGTTTTCTTATTATGTCTCCTAGTCAATACGTTACATCATTTCTTCTAAAAGTCCGAATTAAGCTGTCATGCATGATAGAACATGGACGTAGATATATGTAATGTATTCAGCACATTTAACCAGGAAATTTATTCTGTAAATTTGTCTGAAAATTCAAATTACTATGTAATCATACAAATAATTTTCTTATTGTCTTCCTTTCCTAAGAACCCTAACCATGCTCTGTTATTCATTCACGACTAAGACTAAAACCATGGAGAACTATCTAATTTTAGGATAAATCATAAATTACACTAACTTTCTCTGAAGTTTGAGCAAATTTTACACAAGTAGAGCGTTTCAAATTTATTGTTTTGACCTCTCTTGACGTTTGGATATATGTTCAACAACCCCCTCTCTATCAAAACTCATAAAAAAAAAAATTATAAATTGACCAAGTTGCTGTTACACTTATTTTTTATTTATTTGCAATATTTTTTTATGAGGGGGTAACGGTGGTGGACAGGAGAGAGAAAGTAATAAGAGATATGAGATAGAAAATTAATTTTTTTTAGATTTTATAATATATTTTGTATTATAAAAATATATTACGTATAAGAGTATAATTTATTTTTTATAATCTTGACTCTTAAGGGAAATCAGAGTAATAAACCTCAAACGCTCTACCTATGTGAGATTTGTCCAAACTTCAAGGAAGGTAAGTGCAATTTACCTTTAATTTTATGTCATTACCCTGGAATCTTTTTTTAATTTTTAAATTTTGAGAGAGAGAGAGAGAGAGAGAGAGAGAGGCTTTTATTCAATGTTTATGAGCCCAAGTTGACAAAATAAAAAAGCAGCCCACAGGCAATCTGTGTAAAGAAAGAGTCGATATGAAAGATCGCTTTGAAGTATTCATAGAAGGTTCTCTAATCATTAAGATGTCAAATTGATTGCCGCAACCTCCAAGTTGTTTTGAACTTAAAATCCAACAATAGGTTTTGAAAAATTCAATATAATTTTCACAAGTTCAATTGTCTCTCAATCAAATATTAATTGAAAAATTAATTGTCATACTGTCGTGCTAATTAGAATTCTTTCAATCAATGTAAGATACTGGCTAATGCAAAATATTACTTGGATATCAGCTTTATTTACTTATACAATATATAGGCCCAACTATGGGTGGGCTCAGTATCAGATACTGAAGTGCTCAAATCAACTGGAATTTATCTCTTGAAGTCATTTCTATAGTTCTTTTGTTCTAGTTTAAAAATTAATTATTGTGATGATTCATGCTACTTATAATTTTTCTAGCTCTAATCAATGTGAAGTAAGCAGAGATTTATATGAATGGTCTAAATCATCTTGTTCACACATAGCTTGTGGAGAAGTTGACACTTATAAGGGGTATGCCCCTTGCACGTGGATATGCATTGTGAAAATCGTGAGCACAAAGAATATGCAAAGCGAACAACATCTGAATAAATAGCGTGGGATAAATGGCGCCAAAGCCAACAACTATGTCAGCACTATGCACACTTATCTTAGGAACTACCAATGGAGAACCTCAAGACAGGCTTCATCATGCCTAGCGCACGCACAGCAAAATGCCAGTAGCTAAAACACATAATATTCTTACAGCAAGTGTGGATCACTTCTGTATACAAACGCGTGCACACAATTCAAACAAATTGCTAAGAACAAGCTAGGATCACTAAATAGGATGTAGGTTTATTTATTTATTTATTGTTTACCATTATTTTCATACCAACCATACAGAGCATTAGGAATTCATGTACAAAGAAACTAAGAACATGAAAAATTAGAATGTCACAAAAAAATGGAAGATACCAAAGTGAATTATATGTGCAAAATCAACACGATATACAGGAAGAAATCAACTAATTTACATAAAGATGAATTTGACTTATATCTTCACCAAGTACAGATTAAACCTAACTAATGCCCTCATCGACATCATTCCAAGAATACCCAATGACATTGTATGTAATGCATTAACCAAAGAAAATATATATGCCTAGAATAGGATTTTGAGGTAATGTACCAGTAATTTCAATATTTCATGGAGCAGTCATCCCATCATCAACCCATGGACTGGGGTTGTGATGGCAATAAAGTGAGGGTCCCTATTTGCTCAACCTTCTTTACCTTGTTCTTCCTTCTCTTTAACCCTCTTAACCCAAAATTTGAAACCTCTTCTATGTAGTGACGGTCGAGTACACTGTGCACATGGGAGAGTGAAGATCATCAAGAGAGTGGACTCGACACAGAGTGGAGCACATTGCCTCTTGGATGATCTCTCACGCACAGAGTGGTCTTTTGCTACAGAAAAAAATAATAATAAATAAATAAATAGAAAAATGATTTACAAGCAAACTGAATAATAGTTATAATATCATAGACAACAAGAGAAGGAGCTAATAATTGCCTGCACTTGAGCAAAATTGAAGAACAAATCTTTCAATAGAAGGCAAGAATCCAATGGCTTGTGGGGGATCAGAATACAAGCTTTTTTCATAAAAACATTTTGAATAGGCTTAACAAGAAGAAGATAACTAAGGTGTGCACTGAAGATGGAACCACTAACAGTGATTCTGACATCATCAAACACACATTCACATCCTATTTTGAAAATCTGTTAGGTAGCGATCCTCAATGCTACCCATGTAAAGACTTTCTTGCTCAATTTACTTCAAAAACAGTGCATGAGGATTATTTTGAAAACTTAAGCTCAATTCCCTCTGCTCAAGATATCAAGTGTTGCTTACTCTCCATTAAATCCAATAAATCTCCAGGGCCAGATGGATATAACTCATGTGTTTTTTTTTAAGAAATCATGGAGTATAATTGGAGAAAAAGTGACACGTGCAATCAAATAGGTTTTCAATCAGGGAAAATCCTCAAGCAAGTTAATGCAACTGATCTTGCTTTGAAACCTAAGATCCTTAATCCTGCTTCTCAATCTGTTTACAGACCTATATCATGTTGCAGTGTGTTGTGTAAATGTTTTTATAAATTACCGGCCAAGTTAAAGCCCATATTATCTACCCTTATTGACAAGGCTCAAAATACCTTTGTTAAAGGTAGGAAATCAGGGGACAATATCATATTGGCTCAAGAACTTTTGAGAGGGTACCATAGGGACTAGTTCTCTCCTAGGTGCACTATAAAGATTGATCTTAACAAAGCTTATGATAACATCCATTGGCTACTTGACCTCATGAACTGTCCTCTTTGTTTATATTTGGATCAAAACATGCATCTCTACAGCTTTCCTTTCAGTGTCAGTGAATGGAGAACTTTAGAATTAAGGGATTGAGGCAAGGGGATCCTATATCCCCCTACCTAATTGTAGTTGCAATGGATGCTCTGTGTTCAATTACTAACCATATGACTTCATCTAATCCGAGTTTCATATACCATTGGAGATGCAAGGCTTTACAAATCTCCCACATCTCCTTGCTGATGATGTTCTTATATTTTGCAATGGGGGCATCAATTCAGCAAGAATCCTCAAAACTGCCCTGGATACTTTCTCCCACCTCTTTGGTCTTGTTCCTAACCGCTCAAGTCTCACTTATACTTTTGTACTGTCACAGAACCTACTAGGCATACCATATGCAATCTGTTTCACTTTCCTTGTGGTACTCTTCTCTTCAAGTATTTAGGAATGCCCCACATTACTAGCAGGTTGCATGCAACTAATTGCCAAGTTCTTGCTGACAATTTGCTCTTAAGGATTACTAGTTGGATAGCAAGAGATTTATCCTTTGCTGGGAGGTTGCAACTCATCAAAGCAACTCTTCTAAGCATGCATATCTACTCGACAAATCTCCTAATTCTTCCCGCTGAAATATGTACTAGAATTAATCAGATTCTCTTGAGATTTCTTTGGACAGGGCCTGCAATGAACAAGTTTAGAGCTAAAGTGGCATGGGATGAAGTTTGTAGGCCAAAAGAAAGCGGTGGTCTTGGAATTCCTGATTTACAAGAATGGAACAAAGCCTCCATTTTGAAACACATTTGGACTCTATGCTCTCAAGACTCAAAACAGTTTACGGAAAATGTGGACCTTCAAGCATTTGATCAAGCACAATAGTTTGTGGGAGCTGGGTATACCAAGCAACTGTACCTGGTCTTGGAGGAAGCTGCTGCAACATAAGTATCTTGGCTCAACCACTCATTCTACACAAGATTAACAATGTTGCATCTACTATGGTCATAGAAGACAACTGTCTTTCCTGTCGTCCACTTTACAAGGTAGTGAATTCTAACTCTAGACAGGGCTGGAACATCAACAAATACATCAGAATGTCTTCACTTATGTACAATGAGCAGTGGTTATCACCTAGACACGTCTCCAACATGGTTTCTCCCCTAAATGACATTACAAACCTACCACAAATGACCTCATCCAATGGAACCCATCACGATCCAAAACATACTCATTGAAACACACCCTTAGAGCCATTACCCAACCTCCTCCAAATGCTCACTGGTTTAAAATTGTTTGGTTTAGTCACTCTGTACCTAAACACTCATTTTGCCTGTGGCTGGCTATTCAAGACAAACTGTTAATACAAGACAAGCCATCACTCCACTTCACTATGCAACAGAATGTATGCTTTTGATGTCTAAGTGCAGCTGAATGTCATGAACATCTATTTCACCAGTGGCCTTATTCTAAAGTCATACGGAACAGATTGCAAGATAAATGTGGGTTTTATACAAACCCTAATTCATGGAATGAGTCTTAATTTGGGTGTCTTCGAATTGGAAACAAAAGTAAAAATATAGCAGGGTGTTGATATGGAAACTTACACTTGAAAGCTTTGTTTATCACATTTGGAAGGAGATAAATAACAGGATATTCAGGAACAAGCCTGCTCCTCCAATGGTGACTCTGAATTTGATCATTGTTGCTGTTCGTCCCCGGTTGTTTTCTGTCAAGTGCTGCAAATGTTCATATGCTGAAACTGTTGCTGCCGAATGGAATTTACCATCGTCCTTCTATGAAACCTCACCGAACAACCCTTTCTTCTCCTTTGTATGATCTACGAATTTCTCTGTTTGGAGAATGTGTGTGTGGATGTTCCCACCATTGTTGACTGTTGAGAGTTTACTTTCCCATTAATTAAATAAGGATGGACCTCGCAAGTCTCCTTTGGACTTGTGGCTTTGGGCCGTGGATGTAATTATTTTTCTATTTATTCATTTAAAACTAAAAAACAAAATCATTCTTGTATCTATTTTAATAATAATAATAATAAGTCTCTTTTTTAATATTTTTTTAGTTTGAACAATGGAGTATAACACGCATAAACTGAATCTGTCACAAGAAGATAGAGAAATTTGTCACCCATAGACTCGACCTACCCATTGATTTGATATGTTGGAGTATTGTGCTGCAAATGAAACCCTATTTGAAGTTGAAGTATTTCAAATTGTATTATTAAATGAGTTGAAATAAAACCTTATTTGAAATCCAAGTATTTCAATTAGTCTAGATAATAGATTGTTATTGTAATTCTTACCTTTTAACTTAAGTGATAAGATAATTTGTAATTGTGTGTGCATATGCGTTAATTAGTAAATAAATAGGACTGTAAGATATAAAAATATTTAAACATCACTTGTATATATATTTCAAATCGGAAGTAAAACAGAAACTGGAAGGATTTGTTTTTCTAATCTCTGTGATTTCCAATTAAATATCACTTCTGAAAACAAAAATTAAATATCACTTCATTTATATTCCTCATTTCATTCACCATTACTCAAAATTTTTGTTCATTTGTTAATAAAACAAATAGATACCAAATAATTTTGAATGGATGAAAGCAATTTGCAGTGTTTGATCTCATCCAACTCTTCTCTCACTCTTAAAATTGGTTTAGAAATGAGACTCGTAGTCTTTATATAGCATGCACCTCCTAAAACTATTCTCTATTTTTGTAGATTTTTTTTAGTAGTTTTTTTTTTTTGTTTTTTTTTTTTTTTTTTTTAATATACAAACTTCTACAAGTCTTAATCTCATTCACCTATCAACATTCCACAATTCACTATACTAATGTGAAAAACTCTAAATTCAACTCTCCATAATAGATGTTTTTTCATTATTTTTCAAAATTTTGTATAGTTTCTTTCTCTTATTATACATAAAAAATTTAATATTTTATAACACTAATAAACTATTGAAAAATAAAAGAAAGACACTATACAAATTTATTATGTATTAGAATGGGAGCTTAATGCACTGCTCTAAAAAAAAAAAAAAAAAAAAAAAAAAAAAAAAAAAAATGGGAGCTTAATGTTTGGTCCTGTCCATAATATTCTTCTGCATGGGTTTGGTTCTTGGGTTTGGTGGTTCTCGGGCTGGGTCAGTTTACAACTGGTCTCATTATCCTAGTTCTGAGAACTGATTTATGTTTAAGATTACTGTTTCCCATTATCTGGGCTATCTCATTCCCAACCCAATAAAACTTTGGATCATCCGGCCCAATTATAGACTAATTTGTTGTTGACAATTGGACCCTGATAGTCCAGAAGATCTAAAGTCTCCCTATAGTATTGGCCCATCATTACTTTTCTCCAACCCTCTATGTAAACTTCAGGAATATAATGGTGCTAAAAAAAATAAAATAAATAAAAATCTTTATCAGTATTATTTATTTTATGCCTTTCTTCGAAATTTAACACAAGCCATGCTTGTAGTTTGGAATTCCATATTGGAAAAAAATTTCTTGAGTATGTGAAAATTTGTATCTTTTTAGAGTTGATAGAGTCATTAGAACAAAATTTCTTAGTTTGTGAAAATTTGTATTTTTTAGCGTAAGCCTATCAAAAGAGTTATTAGGACAATAATCGTGAACAGGTATCATTTTATCATTATGCTACACAATGGTGTGAAGGTAAGTGTTCATCTATTTAGTAGATCAAAACATTTTTGTCAAATATTATAATATCAACTTTATTAATTTTATAATTTGATATCACACGTTTCTTTGCGAACCTACCTCGATTGTATCATTAACCAACGAGAGTGAACCGTCATTAAATGAGTCCCACTATTTCTTGAGAGGGAGTAAATATTAGGTGCGTCAGGCATGTTACGTCATAAGTGTACCTACCCAGTCAAACACAATGTGAAATACAATTTTTAAAGTGAACAAATATTATGTGATGGAGTGAGTATATTTGATTGGGTATGTACACTTATAATGTGACCATTGAGTCACAATTTTCAAAATGAACCAATATCATGAAAAGAGGGAATAAAATATTATATGGTTATTAGTAATTTTATAAATAGATAGACTAATTTTTTTTTAAAAAAAGATACATTATCATGGGTCGAAATATCTAGTGCACTCAATATCCGACATCCAAGTCCATAGTCTTCCTTCATGATCCCCCAGTCCTAACCCTTGATTGACTCACAATCATTGACCGGAACCGAACCACAACTGATCAACTTCATCAACGCTTGGGAAGCCTTCATTCTCCCACTCGGATGCATATTCTCAGCCGTCCGATCGCAAACACGGCCCGATAGATCAGCGCCTCTTGATCCACTCACACCCTCCATGCCTTCTACACTAGAAATCGAAACTGGTGGAGATATATCTCCTCTGCTCAGCTCTGTAATGCTCTCCCCACACTCTTTATTCATACCCTTTTCACATTCTTCCCTCACCTCTCTAACACTTCTTCTTCGTTGCCGGCTATCCTCCGTCTGCGTCGACACGTCCGCGGCTTTTCCAGTAAGTTCTCTGCCGGATTTCACCTTGTAGACTCTGTATTCCTGAGGGTCGAATGAGCTCCATGACTGATTTCTTCTCCTCATAGTCGCCGGAAAATCGCAATCTTCGCTGGAAAGTTTTATCTCCGGCAGGTTTTTCAATGATGCTGTTGTTTCATGGTACCTTAAGCTCACAGAGCTCTGAAGAAGTTCAGATCCTTTGAGGACGTATTCACGGCCCTGTGTTGGACATATCAAGTCATTCTCAGATAAATCTTGCCACACAAATCCATTCCGGTAGACCCTGAATTCACAATCAAATCATATGAATTATATATATACACATGTATATATCATATGAATGTATTGTGAAATTGAAATTTTTAACTCAAGCTCTGTTTAGTTAGTGAGAAACAGTAAGAAAAATACAACACAATATAATATTAGATATTCAATTTTCATGTAGTATGAATGTATTGTCAATAAAAAGTTGAGATTCCTAACTCAAACTCTGTTTGGTTGGTGAGAAACCGTGAGAAAATACAACCAAAGTCTTAAAATTTTGGATATTTAATTGTTTCGGAGTTCATGAATTTTGCAATTTTTATAATCAATAAAAGAGAAGCAACAAAAATCATTAGATTAAAAAATAAAAATCCATGCTTTTCCTCAGTTTTCTCAGCAGCCAAACACAATGCAAAAAGTTTTACCGTTTAGAAGACCAAGAGTACATGCTTGCCATGCCTTTTCCTCTGAGAGAGTTCAATCTATTGATCACATCTGCAGAACAGAGACATTAAGACACATATTGCCTGATAGTGAAAATTCAAAGTCTACAAAGCCATTATATATATATATATATATATATACACCTTATATGTATATGTTTATATATTACCTCTGAGATAAAGTCCTTTGGAGGAAGAGAGAGGAACCTCTGTAAAATGAGGATGGTCGAGTTGGCCATTCCTTGAGAGATAGTATATAAGAGGGACTTTGTTGTCTGTCTTCAATTTGGGTTCGATCCAAATCTTGGTTCTTTCAGGACTAGTTTCTCTGTCTTGCCATTTCTTTTTTTGGACTGAAAGCTCCGTTTTCGATCTTGAATTGACCGCCATCAATCACCACAGAAAAGAGAAGCTAACTAACCTAAGTTACAATCTCATTTACTTAAGATGTATAACATTTGCCCAAGAAGAATTTTTGTAGAAATTTGGAGCTAAAAAGGAGAGATCTGGGATGTTTTGTTTGATGAAATGAAACAGCAAATTAAAGACAAAAATGGGTGTGTGTGTGTGCTGGACCTCTCCTGCGCTGGAGAGGATCCTTGTCCGTGTGTGTATATATATATTTATATGTGTGCTTATATATATACTATATATATATATAGGGAGACGAGAGCTTGGGAAGTAGTAGAGGTGTGGACCGTGGCGGGTAGATTCAGTTATTTGAGGTAGGACAAACAGGTACACCTGCTAACCAAACAAACTTAGGGAGAGTAAAAGTGACACCCTGTTCCGAACCACATCTTAATTACCATGTAAATGCATGCTAACTTCAATTTTACTGTTGGAAGATTTAATTGATTCATAGTCATCATCGTTTTTGCTCTTAGTGCCACATGGAGATTCTTTAAATGTAGACAGAGAGCTCTTAAAATTGTGGTCAAGTTTGTTTGCTTTAACTTTCAAAAAAAAAAAAAAATTACTTAAAATAGAAAATCAATCATTCCATTCCCTGCTGAATGGGTTGGCTTACTTAAAATAAAAAGTAAGAAACCACCTTAATTATTTAATTATATTTTAAGATATGATATATAGGGCTATAAAGAAAATACAGAAACATTATACACATGCATTTATGAGAGAGAGGATCCGGTCCGGTGTGCAGCACGTTGGTGGTGTGCAAAAGTGAAGGATGTGGATCACCCCATGGGTGTGGACTCCACCCTTGGGATGATCTCCAACCTTTCTTGCACACTGAAGATGATTTAGGTTCATGCATTTACAAAGCTAAATAGACTCCAATATACGATATATATATATATATATATATATATATATATATATATATATATACTCCAAAGCAGAATACATCTGGTATTCTTGTGAGATGCAGCCTACAGAATGCGGATTTTATTCATGTCACTTGCTCCTGTGTTGGGGAAAGTACCAGCAATTTCCTGAAATAAATTGGATGTGATATATAGGCAACTAAAAGCTCACGGACCAAAGCAAGTATAGTACGAAATTCCAATTTCCAACTTCAAAAGTCCCGTGAAAACATGACACAAAAAACCGGATTTAGAAAATGACTACTTATTTAGCATCCAATTCAGTAAATCTAGTTTTCCACGTACAAGTCACATGTGCCGTGACTTTTAAGGCATTCTCTTTACCCTGCCTTCTGTTTCTATCTTTTGGGGTTGGTGACAACAAAATTATGCACAAATTTTCGGCTTCTCATGTAAACAAAATGCATTCTAGCACCTACTGAAGAACCAACACAAAAAATTTATACAAATTGCAGCTCATGGTGCAAAAGCAACAAAAAAATTCAGCATCTTTTTAAACTTCAAATGGACACTGGTAATGCATTCATACCATAGCAAGCAAACCATGAACAACACCATCTACTCAATACAGAAAATACAGGAAATAAGATATAAATTGTGAATTACTGAGGAAAAAAAAAAAAAGTTGTTGCATTAACTGGGGTAATTTGAAGGTGTAAAAGCTACCATATATGGCATTGCATCTGTTCAAATGACAGGTAACAATCCCGAGGCTCCTGAAACAATGATAAAGAAAAATTTCAAGTATTCAACTCTGATATATTAGAACAACAAATGAAATAACAAATTTCCTACTTCATTAGCTGGAATACGTTAGATCAGTGGTTTGCTTCTTTGGGCAAGATGATGAAAGATGGCCCTTTTCACCACACTCATAGCATGTCCGCCTTCTTATCTTCCCAGTAAGAGTGCTAGCCTCACCACTATCAGCTACATTACTTGTTGGCGCAGATTTTGAATTGCTTTCTGGTACTTTCCTCGGAACTGCACAACTTATTCTCACAGGTCTCCCAAAGACAATCTTTTGATCCAATTTTAATGCCATATTTAGAGAGAGACTATCAGCAAAGTCCACGTGGGCGTAACCCCGGAATTCCCCTGTTTCCTTGTCTTCACCAAATTTAATGGAAGATATACTGCAACCTGAGAAGAATTTCCTCAGTTCATCCTCAGTAATATCCCATGATAAATTACCAATGTAGATCCTATTGTAACCCTCCACAATTGCAGGGGCAAAATCAGATACTTTGCTAACTCTAGTTGACTTAATTCTAGTTGACTCATAAGGCTGGATTTTAAGGAAAAGTCCACCCCTGCAACAAATAAAGAAGCCTTCATGAGCATGAGAAAGGGGGGAAAACGATAAATTGCAACTGGAGAAATGTTATTTATAGGAAACTTACATGTCAGCTCCATCAAGGGCCAAAGCTCTCTTAGCTGCAGCTTCTGTCTGCAGAAGAAATAAAATAATAAAATCAATATGACAGCAGTGACTCCTTTCTTCACCAAAATATATATACTTTGCCATGCGCATTCCACATTTCAACAGATCCTTTTTGGACTTTTGAATGCTTTTGGTCTTTTGTGAAACAAAGATCCATTTTCCCCCCAAAAAAATTCTATTCAATTTCAACCAATTCTTATAACAATTTTGAGGCAATTTGATGTAGAAATCATCTTTGAAACAATAAACACATTTAGAAGAAATTGAGACTTTCAATCCAATCTATATCAGGACAACAGTTGATGAAGAACCAAAATCTAGAATCTTGCTTGCTTCAGCCATCGTCGTTGCCAATCAAATAAGATGGTGTCCCATAACTTCATGCGATAGCTAGGATGAACAATAAGTTTGTCCATAAAATGTGCCAATTTCTTCACCTGTCTTTCAAGTTTTAGCAATATTTGTTTTTTTTTTTTTTTTTTTTTTTTGCTAGATTAGTCAATTTACCCACATCAAATTTTTTTTTTTCCTAGTTGGTACTCACACACACTTGTCTCTTCTGAGACTTGAACCTCTGATCTCCCTTTAGGAGGTAAGAGGCTGATACCGCTAGACCACATCAATTTAGAAAATTATGCGAACCTTATATTATCTCTAGAAGTTTCACATATGTGGGCCAAGAGTAAATTTTAGATAACATCAAAATTAAAGAATGTTATGGGTTGGAGCTTAGAGAGGATAAGTTGCAAAAACTTAAGGACACTAGCATGCCAAGGGACGTGTACCATGAGAGGACCAAGACCATCATCTTCTTGCTGTGTGCTTGGAGAAGTTCTAAATTCCAAGAGGCACTAATACTTGGCAGTGCCACACATCTTAAGCTTTGCAGAAGCCATGAGAAGCATGAATCCTTAAGACCTGCGTCTTGAGGCAAGGCAATTAAGTTTATAAAGGGAGGATAGGACTACATAGTATTATTAGAGTTGCAGACCCTTCAAACATGGTGTTCTAGAGAGATAGAGACTAGCGGTTCATTAGGTGGTGGGGGGGGGTGATGGAATATAAATTTTATTTTAGGTTATAAACTAAACAAATATAAAATTAATATTTTGAAAAAATATTTATTTTATTTATGTGTTAATCTTCTATTGGGATCACTACAATTATTATTGTATTTTCTTTGTAATAATATTTCGAAAAAATATTAAATTTATTTTTGTGTTAATCTTTGATTGAGGTCACTACTATTATTATGCATTTTCTTTGTAGGTGGGTCTGATTGTTTTTGCAGCTTCTTTCACAGCAATAATTATTTCCATTGAATCATACATATAGGTGAATTTAGGATTGCAAATAACTTGATTTATTAATCAACAATTTGTGTTTGGTGTAAGTCAAAGCTTGAAGTCCAGTTTGTGGAACTCGATTATTACACAAATTCGACTCACAACCTTTGGCTCGAAAATTTGAATGGCCTCTAGTCCAACGGTATGATCTTTTCCTACTCAAAGAAGGAGCTTGAGAGTTTTGAGTTCCACTAGGGACATTGTGGATAATTGGTCTGTGTTTAGTTTAACTTCCAAAAAAAAAAAACACTTCGGTTTGAAACTTCTAATAAATAAGCAAAATTTAGTATGATGGGGTTTTCTCCTTAGATAGAGAGGAACCATTGAACTATTTAAGTTCCTTCACCAAAAAGAGGTAGAACAATACCAAATCAACTTCATAAGATATATATATATATATAAGTAACTTCATAAGAGATATAGGACCGAGATTATCTAAGTTCAAATAATTTTTCCTATGAAGTATTTTTTTCTTACTACAGAGGAAAAGAGATTCATACATATTTGCTCCCTTTGGAACCCTCAACCCATGAAAATATGCATCCACGAAAAACGAAACGCCTTTAGGCTTTGTTTGGTTAGGTGGAAACAACTAGAAAAGAAAGGAAACTGAAAGTTTTTAAATTTTTTTAGAGTTTGGATAGATAGATAGATAGCGAAAACTAATGGAAAATTTAGTTTCCCTTATTTAGTATTTTCCCTCAAAAAATTTCCCGCAAAAAACACGCGAAAATTTTATTTTCACGTGAAAAATAGCACTTATTTATTTGCAGTTCCTATTTTATCCAGTAACTTAATCGTGCAAAGTTCTCTCCAAAACAACTTCCATTCTGAGGTAAACTTCCATTCTGATGTAAGTTCGCAAGACAAATTATACAATTATATATATAGAATGTCAATGATAATTTGGGTACGCAAGGCAAATTATACAATTATATATACAGAATATCAATGATAATTTGGGTAAAATTGCTCAAAATAGATCCTGCTTCTAAATAGAATTTTTTTATTTTTTTAATCGTCTGTTCTATGTTGCAATTCTAGCCACTCATAATCCGGTATGGATATATATATATATATATATATATATATATATATATATATATTATATGGTGAAATATTTGATTTTTCTCCCAAACAGTATTATTGCCTCTTCATCTCTATTTTTTTTTTTAATTTGTTTATCTTAAACTAATAATTAGTTTTACCTAAGAAAATATTATGAAGCCTTATTCTAAATATAAATAATAAAAATGAATATAAACAATTATATATTTGAATTGAATAATCCATCATTTTACTTCATAAGGGTAGTTTTGGTATGCATAATCACTTTCTTTCCACTTTCATGCTATCCAAACTAACAAACTAATATTTTTCTACAATTTTCTTGGATAAATTTTTATGCTAACCAAATACATGCTAGAAAATCTCTTTTCTTTTCATTCACTTCATTTTTCTTTCACTTTCTATTTCTTTTCTTTTCTAGCTTATTTCCATATAATCAAATGGAGCCTTAAGGGCTAAAACAAAAGAATCCGCTGACCAAACAAGTCCATTCATCAAGAAGTGGCAGAAGAAAACCAGGTTACTTTAAAAAATGAAACATGATCAAGGTACTTACCTTTTTCTGAAGAAGAAAATTTACACTAACGAGAGAATTACAGCATAGAAGTATAACTTGGTTGGGTGCAAATAGTGTGAAAATTTAAGAATGATCAGTTGGAAATCCTCCTTCACAAGAATTTTGCTATTGTTGATTTTATTTTATTTTATTTTGTTAGTTTCGGGGAGGGGGTTTACAAGTATATGAGGCATCAAACCTTCATAACTAGATAGGTTATGTAACTACTAATCGTCACTTTGCTTTTACACTCCTAAGCAACAAAAACAATGATATTGGAGGATATTGTGGAGTAATTGACCTAAAGCTTGAAAGAGTATGAAACTCTTGTACTGCTTATTTATAGTTTCCCTATGGGCTTAAGAGTGATAGGTATCATTTTCCCAAGAAACTGTGTTTGCAAAACTTAAAATTTAAGGTTTCTGTCATATCAAGCCTTTTCAAGATCCACATAGAAGTATAACGAAAGAGTGATTTCCTTAATTTCATGCCAAATCTATGACAGTCATCCAGACTTTCCTGAATTGCAGCACACTAACGGATGGTCGACATGAAAAATAAACTTTTCCTCACCAACCCAAGTCCACACACCATACTCTCACACGCGCACACATGCAACAAATCCTTAGCTTAAATTTATTAGGCTGATAATGAAATCAAAATCCTACTAAAAAGAATTGTGAATAGATTAAGCAATATAAATTTAATGTTACATCCATCATGAATTGAAATGGACAGAAAAAAGGGGAAAAACCAATTTTTTTTCTTAGTAAGTTGAGACAAACTAACAGATATAAATACAGAAACTGATATGTGTAAGTTTACCTTGAAATTGATTATGGCAATCCCTCTGAACTTCCCACTATCGGGAAACCTCATACAATCAACTTCAGTAATGGTGCCACAACCATCAAAGAAGCTCCGAATATCATCCTCAGTTGAGTAGTATGGAATACCTCCAACATAAACTTTTGTAACAGCATCCTCATTTTCTTGACTAAGAACATAATGCAACACATGGAATCAGTGAAAAGCTCCAAACCCTAATAATACCATAAGGAAATAAGGCATCTTCATTTTTATCTAAAATCATCCATAGATTAATTGTAACACATTTTTACCCCCATTTAGTTCTTGAGAAAGTTGAGGGAAAAATAAGTCTTATATATATTGCCTTTTTAATTTCTTAACCATGAAAAACTTTTAGTCAGCTAAGCCAATTATCTGTATAAGTCTCAGTTTACTAGAGCCTTTATTTTCTTAGGTTCTCATAAAAACAGGAACTCTAAATCCAATGTTCTAGTTTCTTCTCTGGTCCTGCATACTTTCAACAACCCAAAAAGACCCTGATGAGAAACTAAAAGAATAATAAATCCCATTTACTGCAATGTCACAATAAATAGTAATATGACTTTTTAACGAAACAGGTAAAGTGGTAAACTAACCACATATAGACAACTCAACTAAACAAAGCTTTGTCCCAACAGTTTCGATCAACTACATGATTCCTGGTCCACCCACTACATTTTGTAAAGCCATAACTTCAGTTCATCTACAAACGATCACATTTTCTCTCTATTTCAGCCCAAACCAATTCTAGTCTTTCTATTTTCCAATCTTATCTTCAATGTGGATTGTGTCACTCTCTCACTGGCTCAGTTATTGATTCAGTTCTTGCTGCACATGTCTAAACCATCTTAATTTGTTCTCATTTATTTACCTCCAGTGAGTGACACTTCTACTGTCTCACCACTGTACTGTTTATAATTTTTGTTCTCTATTGTCTTATATCACATCCACATCAACATCCTCTTTTAGGTTATGCTCATTTTATAAGCATATCACTCTTCCTCACTATTTGCATTTATTTATTTTGCTAAACGTGTCTAAACCCTCTTTATCAGTTCTATCTCAGTTTATCTACAATGGGTACCACTTCGACCATCTCGCAAATATACTCATTTATAGTTTTCTCCTTTCAATAAACATTTTCATTAGCCACCTAATATTATATTCCATAATGCTCTGGTCTAGTAGCTATTTCATATAATTTACTTGTTCAACACGATATGTCAGAGGGACTACTCTACTTAACCCATCCTGCTTTAATTCTCTGAGATATCATATCCTCTCTCTCTCCCTCCTCCTTAATAATCCAGCTTAAGTAACAACAACATTAGATCTTCAATAGACCAAATAATAATATTATACAAAGCATAAAAAACAATTTGGGAAACTGTATTTAAAAAACAAATTACACATTAATCAGCATGTCTATATTTATAGTTGAATATAATCCATAAGCCACAACATGTCCAAAAACAGAAAAATCACATCCAATTTGGCTCAAAATTCTCATAAACACAACTAATCAACCGAATTAACACAAGAAAAAACCTACCTTCACCAAAAATAAACTGAAATATTGAAAACAGAGGTAGAAAAACGAATTTGACAAAATGAGTAATTCTAATTTTCAAAATTATACCTGTGGTTGTTCTGAATTCTCTCATCCCCACCTTGTTCTTCAATCCCTCCACTTGCACCCTCATCACCCTTCTTGGCCTCCTCCATTGCAACCTTCTTCGCCTCCTCCTTTGCAAGCTTCTTCTCCTTTCTCTTCTTTTTCTTCTGTTTCTTCCTCTTCTTCGATTTCATTGCCTTTTTCGCTGCAGCTACACTCTGTTCAGATTTGGCCGCTAATCCACTCTCCAAACCCTCCTTTCTGCTCCTCTTCTTCCTTTTACTCATACTATCCAAACCACTTTTCTCATTCTCTTTCTCCTCCGTATCACCACTCTCACTCACACCCACAACCTCTGTAGCCTCTTCTCTCTTCCTCTTCTTCCTTTTACTCGCACCATACGAACCACTTTTCTCATTCCCTTTCTCCTCCGTATCACCGCTCTCACTCACACCCACAACCTCTGTACCCTGTAAAGGGAGGGGTTTTCTTCGTTTCTCTCTCTTGGACAATCTGGGTTTCTGGGTTGCTGAATCCAGGAGAGATTTGAGCGAATTCGGAGTCTGTGATTTGGGATCGTCTGTGTCCGTTGAGACAACGTTGGTGCGATGGGTTTGAGCCTCTGATGCTGCTAACGAGTCGACCATCACATCTCTCAGCTTCTGCTTTAACTTTTTGTTCGATAGAACCATTTTTCGATTCTTTCAGTATCAACTCTACTATGTAGAGAGAGAGGAGCAAAAACTGCGTCTGGGGTTTATTGGGGGCTGAAGAGAGTGAAGCCACCGTTCTTTGCAATGGAGGAAAATAATACGGAGTTTTAAACAATTAAACCTATGGTATTTAAAGACTCAAACGACATCGTTTGTTTTTCGAGGAACATTTTTGGCTTTATTTATTTATTTATTTAATATTTCACATTACACATTGGCCTCTCATGATCTCATCCCGTTAGTTTGTTAATAGATTGTTTAAATTAAACCTTGATACAATGGAGTTAAGAATATATTTAAGACTAGGAAAGGCAACTCATTCCCAAAAACAAATTTTAACTTGGGACTTAATATTATTATAAATTTTTTAAAACAATACAGTTTTTAGAAATTTTCAAATAACAGTTTATGGGTTATCAATCCTAATCTCTAATTTCGCTACAAAATTTAAGCAAACTCATAATTGTTCTAAATGAGCAGATCAGAATGGTATCCCATACTACAGGGTATTTTGTCATTCCCAAGTAAGATAATAATTTGAAAAAATAAAAGTGCAAGAATAGTGCATTAATGAAAATTCAAATAGTATGTAGCAAAATAACAATTAAAAAAAATTTAAAAATATAAAATACGCATATTATAAAATCACAAATCAATTTAGATAAGAAGGAAAAAGGTTACAATATATATAATAATTTTTAAAGGGAAAAAAATTAGGATATGATTGAAGAAAGATAGTGTAATTTAAAAACAGGAAAAAAAAAAAAAAAAAGGGGGGGGAAAGAATCAAAGGAATTTGGAGACTAAAAGAAAAAATATAAAAATATATTTTGGAATTATTTTTAACCTTGCCTAGAAACACACAAAGGCTATATTTGGTATAGTAGAAAAGAAAAGAAAAGAAATGATAACATTAGTTAGGAGAGAAAAGAAAATAAAAGGAATGAGATAATATTGTTTATCATTTATTATGTTTGGTTGATTAAGAAAGAAAAAAAAAATGAAATGAAATTATTTTAATAAATTTACTATTATATTTATTTTTATAAATTTTGTTTTTTACAAAAGTAAGGACTAAATTGGTTTTAAAAAAAATTCATTAAAAATGATTATCTTTTCTTCCCTCTCACTTTTGAGAGGATAACAAAACCAACGGGGGCTGCAATTCGGACGAGTTTGAGGTAAAACTTGAGCTTAACCCACTATATGAAATGCTAAGCCTAAACCCAACTCTAACTAACCTTATCCTCAACCTTAACTTCGGGCTTACAATTCGGGGTTAGATTCCGGATTAAAACTTCGGGTTAATTTAGGTTACTTATATAGCTAATCTTTATATCAAAATTTTAATATGATCTTCAATTAGTTTTAGATTAAATTACTTTTAAACAAGAAAAAGTTTAAAGATTTTTTGTAGATTTTTAATAAATTACAAACAAATTTTTAAAAAATTAATTCTCTTAAATGTTAACATACAATAACAGAAGAAAAAAAAAAAGTTGAAAAGATAAAAAGTAATCAAAGTTTAAATATTATATATAATGTATTTAAAAGTAAAAATATATATGAAAATAATATTAGAATTCGAATTCGGATTGGTTCGGGTTGTTAGCACTTCAATCCAAGTCCAACCCTAATTAAAATTGGGTTGAATTTTTTTAACCCAAACCCAATACCAAGGATGGAGCCAATTAAGGACCAGGAGGGGCACGTGCCCCCCCTTGATTTTCTCCCTCTCTTATATTCTATATATTTTTTTATAATAATATATATATATTTTAATGAAAATATGGAAAGTGCCCCTCCTGAATTTTCTCATTCTTCATAGAATTCTATATTTGTTTCATATTTTTTTATCCTAACTTGTTTCCTTAATCCTTATACATTATATCTATAAATTAATTTCATTCCAAAAATATCATTATATCTTTCTATATATATATATATACTCATAAATATTGACTTATATACATGTACATTATATTATAAATTTATGGTATGATATACAATACTATAATGTGCCCCACCTGAAAAAAAAATTCTGACTCCGTCCTTACCCAATACTAATTATAAAAATGATTGCCCAAGTCCATAATAAATCAGGTTGGACTCGGGTTGAATTCAGTTACCCAATTCAAATTGTACCCCCTAAAACCAACACATGTTCCAAATCACTCTATTTCCTTTCCTTTAATGATGTATATCAAACGTGATATTTTATTTCCCTCTATTACCTTTCCTTTCTTTTCCTTTCATGCCTTCCAACCAATGGGCCTCAAAGGACTTGATCCCTCCTAAATCTTCTTCTTTAGATTTTTTTTATTTTTTTTACAAGGTAAGAAGTGTTAGTCCACCCACTGTTCATTATAAAAATCTTATACTCCAACAAGGATATATATTCTGAAAATAAAATATATATAAAAAAAAAAAAAAAAAAAAAAACCATACATCATCATGTATTAATATGTTCCTACATAATAAACCACAACATATATTAATAATTATATATATGTATATATAATTTGGATCCATGAAGATGATTTTTATAAAGTTATGATCTCTAGTAATGAATCAAACCATGCTATGGTACCACTGTTGGGAAACGTGCAAGTTTTAAAACTTTTTGAGGAATTTTGATTCATAGATCTTGATTCATCACATAGAGACAAGTTTTATGTAAAAATAAAATATGATGTATCATTCAATTAACATATTGAATACTTACATCAAAGGTCTGAGTAAACCTTTAAAACTTTCCTCTAAAGTGAAAGTTCTCACTTATTGTAAATCCCTTTGCAAGATGCTTTCTCATTGGATCTCCATCTTCTTGGTAATTGTTTTGCTTTTAGGAATCACTCATAAGCCTCCATGAATGACCTTAGAAAAACTAGGCTTGTGGAAGCCTACATTAGATGAGAACATAAATCCTAATATTCTAGAGAGAGAAAATAGATTCATTTTTCCTTCTACCAAAAATCACCTGTAATACCCCATAATTAATTAAAGAGTTTAGTTTATTTAAATTCAATTATGTGTGGATTCCTTTACCTATTATTGTGCATGCTACATTGTTATATTAAGTTCATTTAATGGTACATGTAAATTAAGTGTGTATGTTAAAATAGTAAATTTATTCATTTAATTGTGCATGTATTATTATAATTAATTTTATTTGTTGATTATGTTTAATTAAGCAATATTAGTTAATTAAAGTATTATATTTGTGTTATAAAGTATTATGATGATATAATGTATTATTTTGTAATAACAATAATAATAATTATATTAGTTTAATAATAATAATAATAATAATAATATAATAATAATAATAATAATAAAAGTTTTATTAAAAATAATATTAGTAATAATAATAATAGTATTAAATCAATGTAATGATGGAAAATTAAATATTAGGATAGAATTTCATTTACTATGGTAGAATGGTGGATCAAATATCTTGATTAAGATTTCATTGTCTTAAAGCCATATAGGTGGGAATGTTGAAAGTTAATGTTTAAGTTAGATATTTGTATTATATATATTATATAAATTAGTATATATTAGTTAGTTAGTTACAATTTGAAAGAAACTCACGTAAGTAGAAGAGCAAAATTCTAGTGAGCCATTGTAAAAGTGTGGAAAGGAAGAGAGAGAAAGAAAGGAGCTTGGACCGGTGTAGGGAATTTACCCGACTACGCGCAACCGGCGGATTTATTTTAAATCCAAAAAGGCAAGTTATTATCTATTTTTCCCCTTTGAATTAATAAATTAATTGTTTAGTTTATTGATATTATTTTAGAGCATAGAGACCATGCAAGGAGTTTAATAAATTAGGACTTTTAGTTTATTAAATTTGTGAAATTTTAATTATTTAGGATAGTATATAATTAGTTATTATCCTAGGATGTTCAATATAGCTAAAAATAATTATTATGGCCTTTGGGATTTTTTTTAGAATTTTTAGGAATTTTCCGGGGCTTTTCTGCATTTTCCGGCGACCTTCCGGCGAGTTTTCCGGTCGCCGGCAGTGGGGGAGATGACCGGAGTAATCCGATGTGATACGGCGCACTATAGTTACTGTGCGCATGGATATCCGGCCGTTAGATGAGTAACTAATCAGCAGATTGATTCGGTGTAGTCCAATACACCATAAGATGGTGCACGCGCGAACCAGGACCCTTGGATTAGAAGAACTAAGATAGAATTATCCAGTGTAGCGCACCTACACCAAGTCCATGCAACCACCGAATCAGGAGCCGCCGCGTCAGCAAGGTACCATTAGTGCGCGCGTGGCAGCGCGTGGAACGCTCCAGACGCGCGTGGGAGCGCGTGTGCGCGCGTGGCTGATGCCAGACGCGCGTGGGAGAGTGGGGAAGGTTGGGCTGCGCGTAGGGAGGCTCTGGGAGGCGCGTGAGGGCGCGTGTGGGGTCCCTACAGCTGCTGGAAATTACCAGAATACCCCTAGGGCCTGTTTTGTAAATTCCAGAACCTTAAACTTGGATTTTTAGGTACTGTGTTGGTATTTACGGGTTTAACGGGCCACGAAATTATTATTTTAACACCCGTTACTTATTCTTATGACCGATTAATCTTTTCTAAGCATTTATTGGCTCGTTCACAGTACGGATACTAATGTGATTTATTTAACGACATTGTTAAATATAAATAGTGTTATTATCGTATTAAATGGTATCAAACATTACTGTTAAATTAAATAAGACCATGGTTTTAGTCAGATAAATTATCCATGATATCTTATGGGATGTTTATACTGTTAATGATATACAAACCATGATTATTATGCTGTGTGCATTTCAGGAAATAAATGGACTGTTTAATTATGTCACATTTATATGGATGAGTTGCCATATAGAACCATGTGAGCTGGCTAATAAGTTTAGACTTATTTATACCTTATGCATTCGTTGCGATAGACAGATGTGTGGCTGTCGGGGTATGTGGTTTAATATTATTGGCATGTGTTGCCTAATTGACATACTCGGTATATTTATTAATATTGCTGGCATGTGTTGCCTAATTTGTATGCTCAGTATATTCATCAGTACTTTGAGAGGT